GTGTGTGTGTGTGTCAGTTTTTCTGTCTCTTGTTGCCAGTCAGCACCTCCCCCCCTCCCTTCATTGTCCGTCGTCTTTTGCAACTGTCTGTCTGTCTGTATGTATGTTTGTATGTTTGTCCATCTTTCTCTGTTGTGTGTCTCTATCTCTGACTCTATCTGTCTACGTGCCTATGTTTCGGTCTCTCTGCCTCACCGTTTGACTGTCTCCTCTGCCTCTGCACATCCTTCTGTCAGCTCTGCAGTTTCCCAGGCGCTCCTTCCACTGTCTTCTTGTTCTGCGCTCCCCCTCATCTCCGATTAACTTTCTTCCTTCCATTTCCCCCCTCATCAGGCTGTTCTTTTGTCTCCCTGTCGCTCTTTCATTCTCCCTCTTGGCTGTCTCTGTCTATCGCTACTTGTTTTCCCCAAGGTGCCTCTATTGTCTCTCCCCTCTCCACCCTCCCTTTCACCTCCCTCCACATATCACTTCCTCTCATTTCACCAGTCCTCAACAACCAGTTACTGTCCCCATCTTCTTTTATCGGGTTTCCCGACCAAGCCAAAGCATGGGCGTGCGCACGTCATTGCTGGTCTAGCACTGCCAGTTGTGCTTGTCGTACTGTTTCCAATTGCATGTCACATTGGTCGGCAAATGGACCGGAGTTGAAAATGGTTAGACTGTTAGACATCGTACGCAAAAGAGGCAGCACAGCAAACAGAAGTTCTTTGGGAGAAAGAGGGAGAGTTGCGTGTGGAAGGATTTGGTGGAGGGAGAGTTGTGTGAAGGAGCTGGTGGGGGCGGGGGGGATGAGGAATCGTGCGACATCGTCCACGAAAGATGCACAGGATACATTAAGTTTTTTGAGAGCAAGAGGGACAGTTGTGTGAGGAAGGATCTTTTGGAGGGGCAGGGGGGGGGGGAGGAGGGTAGGGGTTGTGTGAAGAATCGTGAGACATCGTCGACAAAAGAGACGCAGCAAACAGAAGATATTTGCGAGCAAGAGGGAGAGTTGTGCAAGGAAGGATTTGTTGGAGGGGTAGTTGTGTAAGGAAGGATCTGGTGAGGAGGGAGTTGTGTGAGGAAGGATCTGGTGGTGGGAGAGTTCGATTGAGGAAGGATCTGCTAGTAACTAGGAACAGCTGATTGATCGGAATTTGATCCCTTTCTGGACCAGGAACAGCTGACTGATCCCGTTCTGGGACCAAGACCAGGAACAGCTCATTCATCCCTTTCTGGACCGGAAAACTGGAGCAACAACAGGTGGTTGAGATTGGTAGCCATGAGTCTGAGTGTCGGGCTGTCTGGTTTCGACAAGCAGCAGTACGTACCGGCGCTGAAGAGCCTTTTGGAAGATCCACTATTACAAGATGTGTCCAAGAAGCCGTCTCTGAAGGAAGTGGAAACTTTGATCGCTATGGAGCTCGGAAATGCGATGCGGCTCACGATAAATCGACTGGATGGAACATCGTTTGAAGTGATGGTCTTGGATAATGCGACTGTTGGGGATCTGAAGATGGCCATCGAGAAAGCATTCAGGGACAACAAGACGCTGAGTAGTCGGCAATGCCGGATTTCATGGCGATATCTGTGGGGTCATTTCTGCCTTTCAGCAGACGGGCAGCGATTGCTAGATGACAAGGCACCGCTCCATAGATTTGGAATAACAAATATGGCAGTCCTTCAGTTTGCGCACCATATCTCCGGCAAGGGGGGAGGGAAACACTCGCGACCAAGGAAGAGGCGGTTCTTTCGTGTTGGGATTGGAGAAAAATAAAAACTCACAAGTTCCTGCCCTTCTCAGTGAATTGATGTTTATCGGCCTATCTTACTTGAGGTCATCTGTGGCGGTCTCGCACTGTGCGCCAAGCCACCATAGGCGAGTGGTTTCCGCCATCACATCACCCCTTCCAGTGGAGGGAGTGCAGCTTGGGGTGTGGGCGTGGGGGGCAACTCGCCTGGGTTCTTCGTTGCTGCCCATCGATCTTCGTAATCTATGGTCAGAAATCAAGAACCGAAATGACTGGCACCTCAACCTGGGGACAGTTCTCGTCTTTTGCTACGCAGGATGCTGATAGTAATGTGCAAAAGAGAGAAGATTGGGTGGAAGAGGAAATTTTGCAATGTGGATTGTGGGAGACTCAAAGTTCGATTGCGATAGATGCTAATATCTTGGTGCCTGTAGAGAAGAATTTAAAGTGTTTGCCCCCTGTAGAAGAGATTGTGGGATTATCATTGAGATATAGATTTTTCCTTGGGTAGCATGACTTGACGGAAGCTTGTTTTTTCTCGTTCTTGTCACCCCCCCAACCTTCCAAATGCTTTAGTTTCTGCCCCCTGCAGAAGAGATTGTGGGATTATCACTGAGATATAGATTTCCCGATTTCCCCTTCCTTTGATGACTTGACTGAGCTTTGTTTTTCTTGTCCTTGTCAGCGACCTTCCAAATTCTTTGGTTTCTCTTTCCACTGTGCAAATACCACAAAGTCAAAATGTGTTTTTGAGTGCATCTCTCTCTCTCTCTCTCTCTCTCTCTCTCTCTCTCTCTCTCTCTCTCTCTCTCTCTCTCTCTCTCTCTCTCTCTCTCTCTCTCTCTCTCTCTCTCTCTCTCTCTCTCTCTCACGGACTTGCGGCCCTAGCTCCTCATTGTCGTCTGCTGCTTTGCCACCGTGTCTCATCGTCGTGGTCTCCATCGCCAGAAGGTGAGTTCACCACCTCCTCGTCCTCCTCCCTGCCCATCCTTCTTCCGCGGCCATGTCCTCCCGGCCCCTCCTCCCTCCTCAACCATGTCTTCCTGGCCCCTCCTCCCTTCTCGACTATGTCTTCCGGCCCCTCCTCCCTTCTTGACCATGTCCTCCTCCTTCAGACATCTTCTCCCTCTCCTCGTTCTTCTTTTGTGCTTATTCTTCTCCTCCTCTTCCTCCTCCGTTCTGCCTTCTCCTCCGTCATGGAGTGTGACGTGGGAACGTGGGGTGTGACATGGCAACGGGAGGAAGGAGGAGTTAGTGATGTGGCGACGTCAGAGAAAGAAAGGAGGACAAGGACGAGGAGGAGGAAGAAAGGAGGAGGAGGAGGAGGAGGAGGAGGAGGAGGAGGAGGAAGAGGAGGAGTAGGAAGAAACGAGGACCAGGAGGAGGAAGGACGAAAGAGGTAGCTATGGCCACTGTCGTTGAACGATGGGAGAGGAGGGGGCTTTGTTGGCCACGTGGGGAGACATGGCCACTTTCGAGGGAGGATGGTAGGGTGAGTGATGACAAAGAGGAAGGGGAAGGAGGAGGAGGAGGAGGAAGAAGAAAGGGGGAGGAGGAGGTGGAGAAGGAGGAAAGGAGGGGGAGAAGAAGAACGAAGAAAGGCAGGAAAGACTTTAACGGGAGTCCTTTCACTCTCACCACGAACACGACGTGGCTCAGTTTGGTCAAACGAGGCATATACACTATAGGCAGCCTGTGGGACGCGGAACGAGGGGACTGGATCACACCGGACCAATTGCAACACACACACTAAACACGTGGCCGCCAAACTGGGCACACTGGAGGGGGGGCATACCACTGGCCTGGCAACTTGCCTTGAAAAGAGGGCCCTCTGTGCAGCAAGGGGACTGGGTGGTCAAACGGGCAGACCTGCCACAGCCACTCGTGGTCTACAGAGTGGAGGCAAACAAACAAGGAACATGCACTCTGGAGGCCCATGAGCCAGGGTTGCCAGGAGCGAGGATGTCACAGATTGCAAGAAATGCAGAACTTGACTGCGAAGAAAAGTGGGAGAACCTCATGGACACAAGAGTGGTGGGTGACCACAAAGAGGTTTTTTTCGCCTATGAGTCCTCGACTCCGATTGCGGCCCTGCCCTTTGATCCTGATGAGTGGGAATGGGTGAAGGGAAAACCAATGCACATGTGGGTACACGGTCAAATGGGGCTACAGACAAACGACACCACATCCGACGATTGAGCCTGCCATCACTGCAAGATGGACCACGGACTCGTCCATTGACCCGGCCCAAGTACAGAACCTGTCCGGGCACACGTACTCCAAGATCGTGCCCGCCAATCTTAGATCGTTGCAGTGGCAGATCCTGTACCGATGCCTCCCCACGCCGGATTGGCTGGTGTGCAGAACTAACTTGGAACAGAAAGGGTTGTTAGCCCCCATCTGTTCCTATTGTGGCAGAGCCTCACCCCGAGCCCGAGCAACGCTTGAACATTGCCTCTTGGCATGCCCAATGGTTGCCCAGATTTGGCGGTGGTGGGATGCAGCCTTCCACTCCCTCACCACCCACCACATCCCCTGGGACATAGGCCTGCTGTTGCTGGGCAGGAACGATCACATCCTAAAACATTGGCCTGCGTTTGCCGTCAACCTGTTCTCATACACAAGGCGCCATGTGCTAATGCTGGCCTGGCATGCAAGGTGGTCCTTTGAAAGGCAGGACCACCAGTTCGGACTGCAACAGGCCCAACAAGCATTGGAGGAGGTGATCAGAGCCCGGACACAAGAAGCCTGGAAGGCCATGAAGCATGAATACAGAAGCAAGAAGGAACCGCAGGCCAGACTGACCATCAGGGATACTTATTTACAGACATGGCAGGACCCTCTCAAGCTGTTCAGTGAGGTTGACGCCGAACTGAATATTATCTGGAAGCCCTGGAGAAGCACCGAGCACACATGGAGGAGTTTCAAATCACGTACCTGCAAACTAACCTCATCCTTGTTCCGAATCCGCCTCCACCACCCCCCTCTCAAACCCCTGCACGTGGCCCCCCAGTCTTCCCACCTACACCTCTTCTTCCTCCTGAATCCACCCCTCCCGCCCCGTCCCTCTTACCCCAACCAGGAGCGACAGGATGAAGTCTACAAAAGGGTATGGTAGCCCCACAAGGCCTTCACTTGCCAGAGGCCAGCGAACAGAAGGACCCTGACAGTCACTGGACAACGGACAACACCCACAGCCCACAACCTCGGCAACAACAGCATGACACAAGGAGGACATACATTCGGGGCCAATTCAGCAGACGGTCTCGTGGAGAAAGGATGGGCCAATAGGAGGCTTCGAAGTCTGTGGACTTGCAGGTTCAGGTGGTTTGGAGGTTTAGGAGACTTAGGAGCTGTATGACTTTAAAATTAAAAAAAACGAAGACAACCGGTTTCAGTGAATACGATAAAGAGGGGAAGGACTGACAACATTGTAAGGCATTCCGGTATCCCCTTCAGTTTCGGCCTGTGGTCGGGATTCGCAGTCATTCCCCCGACTTGGTTCTAAATTCTCTGATGTGAATTCTATATTGAGCAATTGTAACAAGGGACGCTGGGCCCGCTTCTCAGCAGGTGCTGCTCCCCACCAATAGATGGAGCCACCCCGGGACAACTTGAGGCGACTGCTCCTACGAGCATCTCAAGCTATCCCACGGGGCCGATTCTGCCCAAAAAAAAAAAAGGAAGAGGAGGAGGAAGAAGAAAGAGGTTGAAGAAAGAGGATGAACCTCTTTCTTCCTTCTTCAGAGACGAGGAGGAGAAGAAGGAAGAAAGAGGTTCATCCTCCTCCTCCTCCTCGTCTCTCTTTTTTCTTCTCCTCCCCTTTGTTTTGTTTGTTTTTTTAACTTCTTTTTTTTTTTCTTTCTTCTTCTTTTTTT